GTAGACAGGAATTGGTTTCACTATGCGGGATTATAAGGGGTCTATATTAAGTCTATATTAGTCCAAGAATCTTAGCAGAAAAAAAAGAAAAAAAAGAAAAAAAGAAAAGAAAAAACAGAGTTGAGTAACTATAAATTTCAGGTCACCCATCCAAGTACTAATCTCCCTCAACCGTGCTTGACTCAGTGTCTTGAAAGCCCAAGTTTATTCCACTGGGCCACGATTTCAGGAAATTAGCACAACAATAGCCATGACAACAATGCACCAGATAGACTAGATTATTTTCCACTCCAAATCAACGTGCCAGTGCGTGGCAGAGTGCAAGGGATTAGCTGTAGATATGGTCTGGGGGCCGGCTAGTCTCTCCCCTGATGCTTCGGCTAGAACACAATCTGCGTAATCCGTACACCCAAGGGCAGAGGGACTTAATTGCCGTCAGGTCCGAAGTCCATACGATGACCCAGCGGATGTCTAGGGGTATGGCATGAAGGCACTACTTTTTCTTTTCTATTCTGTATTTTGGAATTAATTATCTAACGTGGGTTCAATTCCCACCGTATTAAGAGTAGCTTTTTTTCTTCTTCTTTTCCCTTTTCCCTTCTTTTTTATATTCATTTATTTATTAAATATTTTTTTCTTTTTCTTTTTCTTTTCCCTTTTCCCTTCTTTTTTATATTCATTTATTTATTAAATATTTTTGTAAACGACTCTTATTAAATGAAGAAAATGAAGATTCTTATTCTTTTTCTTTACAAAGGAAGTCTACTTTCTTTCTAGCATTCAGCATTAACAGTGAAACCATCTTCATTTGAAAAAGTCGACTGTGTTTTCCTGGTTTAGAAAAAACTGTCTGGGAGCAGTTGACTGACGAGAGCTTTTACTAAACTTGGATTCTTAGTAATATATTCTATACGTGACAGATGAGTTACCAATTTTTCTTAAGGAATCTGGAACCTTGAGATAATTAGCATACAAGAGGCAGGGATCATCCCATCAGAGTACGTAGTAACAAACAATGGTTTCTTTTTCCGTACACTTTTGTAAAACTCCGTTTATAATATTGATTTGAGATGATTTTGGGGAAAGTATTCGCAGGGCCAGAGATTTGTGTATAACTGTAATCTAGCTTACTGTCGTAAAATAACAGAAGAAAAAACCTAGTTTAAATTCCAGTGGTTATTAGAAAACATTCGAGAAAATGATTGAAGTGACGTCATTGCTCATTAACTCATTAACGCAATGCCAATTCATGACGTAATCTTAATTATCTCAATAGCCGTACTGTTGAACGCAGTTGCACGGATGTGGTGGTTTAAAACATAGAAATGAAGGTTTACCCTGCGGGCATCCCGGATCCCGAACCTACTAGAGAAAAATGGTCGCACAAGGCTGATTCTTCGACCAGAATTTAAACTCTTTTTCAATCACACACTCTTCAGACCATGATATCAGGTTGGTTCAAGTGTTGGTTTGAAAAAAAGCATTGCAATGCGCGATCAGATTCAGACTCTTTTCCAACACACAGAAGAGGACAACGGATTATTTCATCAAATATTAACTATATTTATTAGATTAATTAACATAACAATGAATTTGGACAAAACAGAGGAGGTAGTTAGAAGTGAAGGCGGCTTTAACTAGGAGGGATTCGAGTGATTTATGATCAACGTGAAAGTTTATTGATATCAATCAATTATTCTGGATAGATTCCACCAGTGTGGAGCACTGAAGGTAAGATTACTTATACATGTCTATAGAATTAGCATGAGCTGTTATTCAGAAACCAATTAGTTGAGTTCAGACATCGAGACACTTGTGATTACCAATCTTTAGACATGGAAGACACGCTGACAGAGAGAGCGTTGTTGCTCATCCTGGACTACCTTCGACGTCCTCTCCTCGACATCCTGGAACAGCAATAGTTGAGTTCAGGGATCGAGACACTTGTGATTTACCAATCTTTAGACATGGAAGACACACTGACAGAGAGAGCGTTGCTGCTCATCCTGGACCACCTTCGACGTCCTCTCCTCGACTGTTGTTTTTTAAGCCACATGTCCTTGACATTTTCCTTGGTCAGGTTTGTTGTCAGTATGCTGTGGATAATTCAAAATTGATGCACCTTTAATAGATATGTTTGACATTCAAATTCTGAGATTTCTCGTGAGGTGGAGGTAGCATATCGCGACACTCAAATGGTTTCCATTTTGAGCCAATCAGGAAGCAAGAAAATATTTTTTGAGAGCCCATATATTTAATGCTATATCTGTTTTTCAGTTGATATATTACAAGTCTTACCTTCTTCTAATGTCGTCAATCTCCTTCTCTCTGATCGTCTGCTTGCTTGTCTCAGGGCGTGGCTCAACAGTTGTTTCATCGCTCAATTGTTGTTTCTTTGGTTTTTCCGTCACTTCACTCGTCTTTTCCTTCTGGTTCTTCAGAATCTCTCTTTCTTTCCCTGGGCTTACAGGAAATATATCTGTAGTTTTACAACAGCAGAACTGCTTGCCATTATCAGATGCCAAGCTGCACCATCGGCTATATGCAAGCAATGTCATGACAAAAACTAGTTTCATCACTTTCAGGCCAAGCCACGCCATTAATACCAGCATTCATGGTATATAGGACAGTATAATGTAGACCATGGCATAAGTTGCTAGACCACAGATGTGTAGTGCTATGTAACACTCCTCGTATATCAGCCAGATAATATAGGTGAGTAGTGTTCTTGCGGTCCATGGCTCCAACTCAAAACAATGACAGACTTGCAATATTGCTTTGTAGGCAAGGTAGGTAAGGTAACAAATACCAACCAAGGCAATCCCCAGTACTAAATGTCCTGATACTTGTACCATCAAAGGTAGAGCAAACATAAGCAGATTCACTCCACAACCAGACAGGACAGAAACGGCTTTGAGAACGACCAGACAAGCTAACATGGTCTTGAGTAAAGAAACAGGCATGATGAGAGGTAAAAACAGGGCAAACATCAAAGGATGAGACTTCTTGTACTGGAAGACGTATTCAAAAGTTGCTATATACCATAGGTAATGGAAGGTTTTCTTATAATGCATTGGTGATTCCATGACAAACAAACCTTCCAGGTAACCTGCAAATGAATGAATGATACGATTATTCTTCATTCATATCTGTCCTTAATAATTTGCGGGGAAAATTCATATGCGCATAATGCCTTTTTCTTTTTGTGCGAAATATCGTATACGCATTATCTTTTCTTTCTTTCTTCATCTTTCTTTAACATCTTCTTCAAATTAGACATGATTAAAAAAGTAATTATTTTAGATCTTTGTCTTTTTTCTTTTTAATGTTACAACCACCTTAAATGTAGATCATTGCTTCTCAGCCTCAAAACCTTTGTGTGCGTACAAGGTTCTCATTTTTCTTTTCAGTTTGATGTTTCACTGTCAAAATTTCTTTAATTTCCACATAACTGAACCAGAAAATCATGATAAAACCATTTGAGTATGTCAAAGTTCTTACCTGAAACTGTGCTATGTGCTATCAAATCTGCAAATAACCCGCTTAACCAGTTTTGACTTGTGTAATTTTTTTATCGCTTTCGTTCGTTTCTCATCAGTTTTCTCTCACTGAACAACTTCATTCAAAGCGCGCGCAAGGCTGAATATCTGATTGATGATGTAACGCGCGCTCTCGTATCCGGTATCACTCGTCCCTACAGTGGAATTATGGGTAGACTGGCTTATAATTGACACTGAAATTATGTAGCAATGACTTGTATTTCTAAAATCATATATGTATTTGTTGTTTATAACAGGACATTCAATCTACAAGTTACATCTGGTAGAAATTCCGGGTCGACTATTCATTGATAGATAAGCGCTTATTGGAAATAAAATTAAGCATGGCTTGTCGCTGGAGATATGCGAGTATGTTTATATGTAGTGTTGGGACAAAAATACAGACCATTTGATCCATGACCACAGATCTTCTTCAGTGTGCTGTTAGACTGTTGGGACAAAAATACAGACCATTTGATCCATGACCACAGATCTTCTTCAGTGAGCCGTTACTGCTAACTTCAAAAAGGACAAGTTATAAGTATCAAATAAGCATTGATTACGACATAAAGTATATGTGTGGTATTTTGTGTTTGTTTTGGTTGTTTGCTTGTATTGGGGTGTTTTTGTTTCTCCGGTCTCTTGTACTCCAGTTTTCCCCTCCACTTCACCATACTACTCTCTGAAGCACCTCTAGGCTATACCTTGGCCTGCGCGATATTTTTTCTCGTATGATTTAATGTTACCATGGGAAAGCACTCAGTTAAAACATTGAAAAATATTTTCATGTTATACTAAGGCCAAAACAACAGAGGTAAACACGCAAAGCATATCGTTTCTTGCGCAGCTGATTTTATTGGGTGACATGCACCGTTACGGCGCTTATAGTAGTTCACCTCTGAGATTGCGGATTCGATTCCTGGCCAAACTGAAGTGAGTTTATTTGAGGTGTCGTTCTCTCCCTTGAGATTGTTCTCCTATTTCTCTCCCTCCGTAAAAACCAACATGTGATTTGAGTCTTAAGTGTTGTAAATAGTGAATCTAATGGTGGTTYGTGTGGAGAAAGCGTCACGTATCAGCCCCTTTAATGTGAGTGACGGTTATAAAATATGTTTTATTTTATAATTCTTGCAAAAATGAACTTGCCATTCCTTGAAAAGTAATTCACATCTTTATTTTGGCATCAACAAAGACATACATTGTTCTCACTTTTTTCCCCCATTATGCAGCACCATACTCCTAGACCATACTCCCGGTTTCTAACTCCCTGTGTGATTACATTCCCATACAACATGCTTTATCTAAACATTTTTATTTCTCAAAACTACAACGTTGATAAAAACAAACATTTTCCTTTTGATAACACGCTTCATTCTCCTCGCCATAAAATGACCGCTGACCCCCAAACAACGCCGGCCATCTCAGAAAAACAAGCAACCCAATTATTGCACATATGCCGAAATAGCTCAGTTGGGAGAGCGTCAGACTGAAGATCTGAAGGTCCCTGGTTCAAATCCGAAGAGTTCGTAGGAACTCTACTGAACAATCCCGGGTTTCGGCAATTCATTTTTTTTCCTTTTGGTTTTCTTATTAAATTAAAGGTGGGGGCTTCATTTGTTTTGTTATCTATCTAGAGGTGTTATACTAGGATTAAACAGGTGACGTTGTAGTGACATATATTTGTTTCTGTTTGGTTTGGAATTGTTTGTTGTCGAGACAGCATAGTAGTTATGACTTTTGATTCATTTGGGTGGCTCTTAAAAGAACCGTTGTTTTTGTGTAGCAAACAGTTCAAAACTGTTTACTTGCTGCTGGTGCTGGACAGCCTTGGTGCCTTCACTGACTGCGTGCTTGGCCAGTTCACTAGGCAGAAGATAAACTCCTGCAGCAGCGATGTAATGAATGTAGTGAATGCGTGTAATCCCGTCTAATTAAGATAAGGCTTCCGGAATTCATTTCTTTTTTACAAATTTTCAGTTTTAGAGCAGAACAAGATGTGTTTAAGTCTTTCGTCTTGACTTCAGCTTGAATATTAATTTCTTGTCACACTTTGGATATCTGTAGGTGAAGTCCCATGGAGCGAAGAATGGCTAGTTTTCTTAAGTCCATTGGTGTACTACAAGAAATAATTTCAGCAACAATTTTAGTGAGAGACAAGGATTAATACGACAAGCCCTACCCACTATATAAACTTTTTACCAAATCAAAAAAGGAGCTTACATTGCCCATGAGGTTGCGCTTTGATACTTCTACTAAATGTATCTGTCTGTGGGCGGCATGGAGACAAATTCCCACCTCCCCTCCACTCCCTACAAGCTAATCCCCGTCCGTTAGACTCGCACCCTACCTTTCGCAGCGGTTCGGTACGTCTATCTTCTCCTTGTTCATCGAGTGCACATCAGCCACAGATGCTGATGAAGAGGGAATTGAGTGGTGGAATGTAGGGATTTTGAATGTTGGGCGTGAGAAACGCCCGGTAACGCTGGTACTTTGGTATTGACTCCATTGTTGCTCGACATCCCAGGTGACGGGGCTTTCAATACTTCGAAAACCAGTCTTTATTCTCTGGAATAAAAGTTACAATGCCATTTAGAATCTTCTGCTTCGCGGTGCATGGTGGTGGCGATGGTGGTGATGATGGTGGTAGTTGTGGTGGTAGTAGGATGGTGGCGGTGCATGGAGGTCAGTAGTTAGTAGTAGTGATGGTGGTGGCTTCGCCTGGTGATGGTGGTAGTGGTGGTGGTAGTAGGATGGTGTTGGTACATGGAGGTCAGTAGTTAGTAGTAATGGTGGTGGTGGCTTCGCCTGGTGATGGTGGTGGTGATAGTGATAGTAGGATGGTGCCGGTGCATGGAGGTCAGTAGTAAGTAGTAGTGGTAGTTGTGACTTCATGGTACACAGAAGAGGTGGGGGTGGGGGTGATATATATTTGCTATTATGATGGTAGCAAGTAATATTGCACTCTTACAACTAAACCTTATGATGCGCAAGTGCGTTGACTGTGACAACGCAGCTTCCTCTTTCCTCAGTTTTTTTTTTATTTATTAGTTGATGTGCAATGTTATCGAAAGAAAATCCAATGATAAAATAATAAGATATATAAAAACTTTTCATTGCTATCCACCACCGTAAAGTACAGTACTGAGTGGCGCATCTCAACGGGGTCGAACTGAAAGCATGTGAAGGTGCCTCTAGCAGCCACTATACAGTCCATGTATGAACCTGGAGCACAGCTCTAACCAGTTTGAATTAGCTAGGCTCGGTTTGAGAGGAAGGATGAAAATAATCGCCAATTTACCGTTGCGCAAGATCCAGGTAATCGTACAATATACCACAATGCATAAAGAGGAATGGACAACATTGAAAGTAAAGCCAGTCCCCAACCAAACAGTTCACCAGACACCGGGTACACATACTCCTCAAAGGTCAGTCCTTTATACTGGATTATGCTCCACAGGAATATCAACTAAAAGAGCAGAGAGAATCAAGTGTTAGAATATAGAGCTAGTTGGTGTTTACAAACATTATCATAGTGATGTTCATTTGCCAACCATTTTTTAATGAATTTTTCTTTATCATTGTCTACTTCTAGAGCATTGTTTTTGTAACATTATAAGCTCTTCTCTACCTAAATAATGGCAGATTTTGAAAAAACCCACTAAACGGCCTCAAATCGCGTTGAAACTTCGCCAGAAGACTGAACAAAGTAAAAGCAACAACTGCAGCAAGTTTTTAGACAAATTGTTGAGTGAAACATTTTATTGTCATGACTTTATCATAACTCCCATACATTTCCTTATAAACCATACACAGGAACCTTGTTTGGGCTGCCTGTGCTCCGTGGCGGATCCAGGAATTTAAAAAGTGGAGTTCCAAAATGGCCGCCACAATGATAAAGCTGTTAAAACTGGCTTCACAAAAGGGGGATGATTGGCATCACGAGATCTCGCAAAAGGCAGTCCGGCTGCATGAGTGGGGGGGCTTATTGTCGTGAAAGTAAGCAGGACTCCTTTCTTTATCAAATCAAGCGGTGTATCATAGTAACCAAATAGATATACAAAGAATATGGTAGAGACTAGATAAACTAGTTAACCGCGTCGGTGTTTGGAATCGAACAGTCGGAGAATTGATTTAACTTAATACACCGTATGGTTTGTGAGTTTAGAAACTGACGTTTCGGACGTTAGTCCTTCGTCGGAGTAAATGTACTCCGACGAAGGACTAACGTCCGAGACGTCAGTTTCTAAACATCACAAACCATACGGTGTATTAAGTTAAATCAATTCTCCTACAAATAGATATACTGTACAGTCTAGCCTTACTTACTGTTACCACGGTCGGGCTGATATACTTCCAACACAATCGAAAGTACAGAGAAGGCCTCTTGCCTAACATTTCTTGGATGTTTTCACTAAAGCGATCCACTCCTGATAGCGAACACATCAAACAGGTTGAGAATATTTGAAGTTTTAAATTGACGGATATTACGCAGGTTAATGTTCTAGCCCGAAGGGGAAAAAATAGCTGGCCTCCAGAGGCGTAGCTAATGCTAATCCCTACCTGCGACACAATTTGATTTGAAGTAGAAAATAATCTAATCTATCTGGAGCATTGTTTTCACGGCTAGTATCGCGATTCTAATAGAAGTTTGTGAAAGGTATTGCCAAATTGGTAATGATATGCTTCCATATCATGACAAAAAGTCAAGCCCGGTTGAGCGAAGTTAGTACATGGATGGGTGACCTTAACTTGTGCCTACTATTTTAAAAAATTTCAATTTTTGTCCGTAACTTTCAATAAATTACAACCCATTTTAGCTGAGAATGGTGAAGATGAAAAACTACCGGGCATTTAATCCGTGACCGGGAGTGTGTCATCATGAGCAATTTTCCTAAGTAAAACGAAGAGAGTCGTTCGTATTCTGTGTCGAGAGAAGACAAACACGTCAAGCCTCTATGACCGAATTCAACTTCAATTGGCAAACATATCGTTTGACATGCAGCAACTCGTCTAACAGTCAACAGCTTGTTTCTTATTTTGCATGCAAGTCGTTTCTTATTTCCAGGAACTTATTTGCAGCAATTCGTTTCTTATTTGCAGCAACTCGTTTTTTATTCGCAGCAACTCTTCTAACTTGCGGCATGTCCCACCGTAATTTCGTAGAAGATAACTCACCATAAAACCAACCAATTACAATACACTCAAATATGGAGACAAATATTAAGGACAGTCCACCAGACTGTTTGTCCATGATGTGGAAGACGTAAACACCGCCCTGTTGATTGAATCAGGCAGATTTTGATATGAGTACACTTGATATGTTTGAGACACTAATACGGGCTGCGTAGGAGCCTAGGGAATGACACGTGGTCTGAAATGACGAACAACAAAGCCGGAAAATAGCCTAAGGGCGAGGCTAACAAACACGGTATCATAACAAAGGAAAACTAAAAACCTGTTCCAAGCAGCTCTTACCTGAGTGACACACGAGAGGCCCAGCAGGTAGAAGATGCAGCAAAGTCCAGCCAAAGTCATCTTCTTGTGATTCTTGACCAACTTGAATTCGTCCGTAAGACATGACATGATGGTCTCAATGAACACGAACTGTTGGAAAAGATATCATACAAACAAGTTGACCAATCAGATTTAAGAAAGTAGATCATCCAGTACATCACGTGATTATAAATGCTACTGTTACTTCCACAATCGTCGAATTTAATTATTGTTTGGCGGGAAAATATAAAAAGATTTCTCTAGTCTACAAAAAACATGAGATTTTACACCATCACATGACGTTGTGTTATACTGATTTTCATTTTCCCTACCATAATTTACTTATTTGTTATGAATAAAGAAATATCTGGCCATAGCCATTCCGAGTTGAGAAAAAACCTGGGTCTAGTTGGATGCATTGTGGGGCTGTCTTAAGGGACAAAATAGACGCCATCTTGGAAATGTGTTCCCTCATGAAATAGATTTGCAAAATCTACGACGGCAACGTCAACCGGGAGTGTAAATAATTTCTCTTTGGGGTTCTGTTCATTGAAGATTTCCTTTGTAAACATTGTCAGTAAGGTCAACTCATTCACAGGGAAGACAAAATTATTTGAAGGCGCGAAACCCCAAAGAGAAGTTGTTTACACTCGGTAGACGTCGCCGTCTCAGATTTTGCAAATCTTAAAGTCCCTAATTTCACATTGCCAACTCGACCAACATTTTCCCCTCAACCTTGGAAAAGCAATTACAGCAGAACCCAATAACATGTCGTTGCTTATGTCGTACCTGACTGTCGATGCCGAGAAGGAAAAGCATAAAAAAGAACAGAACGGACCACAAGGGAGAAATGGGCATTTGGGCAATGCTTTCAGGATACACAACAAATGCCAGCCCTGGGCCTGAAAACAGTACAAATAAAATGATTGGACAAAGGCTGAGCTATCTCTATCAAAGATTGGCTATAGAGGTTTTGCACCATCACGTGCCCATCCAACAATACTTCTTGGGCTTCCTATGGTTAGATGGTAGGACAATAAAATCCCTTTGCTCTTGGGAATTGAATTCTTTCCGCATGTAAAACGACTGTATTGTAATATGGTTGTCGTCACGTGGTGGTGAAAAACCTCTCGCGTAATGGACGTAATCCGTCTGGACATAACATTTTTTTCCATTTCAGATCACATGTCATACCCTTAAGAATAAAATTCCTTGTTTGCGTTGTATTCATATACAGTCAATTCAAAAAACGTTGTCGTCGACCGGCTCAAACCTACGCGACAGGACCGAAAGAAATATGGGTAAAATTCACTGAAGCGGTTAAATATTCGTTCTGAATTAATTGTTCCCGCTCAGTAGTAAAGATAATAATGGCGAGAAACAATTCAATCCGTCAAATGCATGTCTTCGGGTTTAGGGAAAGAAAAACAAAGTAGTTATGATTCAGTTCACAATTCCGAAAATATGAAGGCATTAAAAAGACGTCTCCTTCAACACTTCCTGCTCGCCTACGAAGGTTCGTGCTGTAAACCAGGCATAACTAGTAAATTATAGTCAGATAAAATTATGGAGTCAACTCGGCTTCAACGATTACTACCCAGAGTTCCTTTCGGTCCAGTCTCGTAGGCTTGAGCTGGTCGACGACAACGTTTTTTGAATTGACTGTATTCATGTGTCTTCTCACCCGCAACAGTTAAACAAAGAAATGATACTCAAGGGAATGACATGTGGTCTAATGTGGGAAAACAGATATGCGTAACCGTTAAACAAAAAAATGATACTCTAGGGAATAACACATGGTCTGAAATAAGAAAGCAGTGGATTAGGTCTATCCAAGCAGTGAATTAGGTCTATCCAAGCAGTGGATTAGGTCTATCCAATAACGATTGCCTATAGACACCATGACTGGTATGGAATGGAGACTTACCAGACGATATAACGTGTTTGACGTCCTTTTCTAAGGTATGTGCAACAAATCCGATGACGGTGAAGGTAGCAAAACCTCCGAAGAAACTTGTAAAACAGTTGATAATGGACACGAATACGGCATCCCTAAACACGAACAAGATAAGACATGGCTAAGGATTTTATCTAGGCGTAAAAGGAACGGATCCAGGATTTCTGTTTTCTTTTTATTCTTATTTTTGGGGTGCATGCGTCATAGCCGTCATGTTGGTTTACGATAACAAAGCATTCTTCATTAGCTTCTCTTGTTTGATCAACCAACATTCCGGCTGTTTCATTGTTATTTATATCTCAAGGGATTTTAAAACATATGGCTGTACCCCAAGAATATTATTTACTTATTGACTGAGTGGGAGGACCGTACGGGAAAATATTTGGCTCGAGGKGATGCCGTACAGTCCGTACAAATGACCGAGAGCCAAATATTTTCCCGTACGACCCATGACCTAACTCAGTCAATGAGCATTTTATCATATGACACTATATAGAAAAGATATTTTAAAAGCTGCAAATTATGTCAATATGGTCGCAGGATTCGAGCAGGGCTCGCTCAAAGCCGTACGGCCCTGCTTACGCCATTTTTCCGAACGGGTTTTTCTAAGAGCGCACGCCCGGGCAGACACGGGTCATATATGATAAGACAAATTACGCACGCGTCAATACCACAGGAAACCCATGAAAGGCTGGAAAATGGGAAAAAAATGGCTTCTCAAATTGAAGTAAATTAAATTTGAGAGCTTCAAGTAAACCGAATGAACGGTTTCTCCGGATAAATGCTTTCGGTCATATACACATTTCATTTGAGTAAAAGTAAAGGGTGTCTAGTCAACCCTCTCACCACCCCCCTACAAATATCCTTCAACATCATTCTACGTACTTTTGACAGTTATTATGGAAGTCGTTGTAACTTCCAAAGACAATGAGCCCTCCGAGTCCACAGCTTAGAGAGAAAAAAATCTGCGAGGCTGCGTCGACCCAAGCCTGAAAAGAATAAACGTAGATTAAGAAAGAATTCTTTTCGTATTCAAGCAGTGAGCGCCAAAAACTATTTTCTCGAAGAAAGGCTGTTGTACAAGGTTGAAATCTTGTTATTCAGAAAGTTTAACTTGTTTGGAAGTGGAGATGACCGATGAAAGTGGAATCAAAGTGTTAACCCAAAGCAAAAATTTTATTCGAAAATGAGGTTTAGGCCTTCATTTGCTTATTTCCGATATATTTTTTTACAAAAAAGCATGACAAAGCAACATAGTTTTTGGCGCTTTTTGCCATTATTGCTGATTATTGAAAAAAATGTCCTTTTAATGAGTACAATGAGCATGGCACATGGATACTCAATGCCTAACGACAAATGTATCGGTGCTTTTTTGCCTTTTGTTAAGACTGACATCGGTTTGAAAGTATTTAAATTTGAATATAATAAATATGTTGATTTGCGACGCTTCTCAATTACGCGTAAACCAAAAACCTACTTTGTCGCGACGAAAAATTGTACGATTTCGCGCGTGTGATTGTGAAGCACAGTAAAGTCATCTGTTTTAGTTACTCCGATCTAAACACGTGGGATGCTGAGAGAACACGAGAGAAGCGTGGGAAACCACGACGCGTAGCGTTAACTATGAAAATTCAGAGCGCGAAAAAATGACGTGACCGTTTTAGATACTTTTATTAAGGAATGTTTAGAGTGCGTATGTCCAGTTCTGGATGCACGAGGGAGGTTGCATTGTTTAAGCACAAAATATATACACATATTAGACTGTTATTTAGACTATTATTATTATTATTATCATTATTATTATTATTATTATCATTATTATTATTATTATTATTATTATTATTATTATTATTATTATCATTATTATTAGTAAATGTGTGGCACTAAATATTTAATGTGTGGCACTCAATATTTAATGTGTGGCACTCAATATTAAATGTGTGGCACTGAATATTAAATGTATGGCACTAAATATTAAATGTATGGCACTAAATATTAAATGTGTGGCACTAAATATTAAATGTATGGCACTAAATATTAAATGTATGGCACTAAATATTAAATGTATGGCACTAAATATGAAATGTATGGCACTAAATATTAAATNATTATTATTATCATTATTATTATTATCATTATTATTATTATCATTATCATTATCATATATATATATATACCCATATCATATAGAAAACATACATATCTAGCCAATCAAAGCGCGCGTTATGTCGGACTATGTTATAATCTAAGATGGTATTTCGACCATTCGACTAATCAGAGAATGCGAAAGAACTCAGTTATTTTTCAATTTGACATTGCATCTGTAGCTGGGGCAGTTTCATTGAGAAGAGGCATGTCTTACTTGTGGATTAAGTAGAATACTGAAATCAGGTGTTAAGTAAAACATGATTCCATCGTAGGCTCCTGGTAGAGTTGCGCCTCGAACGATGAGAATCGCCAGTAGAACGTAAGGGAACGTTGCCGAGAAATACGCAACCTGCAGAAAAACAGATAGAAATAAATGTCACAGACAAAACAGCGTAAATAGATGCACAATATTGAAAATGACAGCAAAGCACTAAAAAACGTAACGCATGTCTTTAGAATTGCGGTCTTTAAATTCTTCACATTGTTGAACCAGAAGCGGTTATCTGTTCCAAACTTGCGCATAGTTTGTATAAGACGGTTAGCGAGTGGTAGGTAACACTCGACCGTGACACATTGAGATTTCTCATTATTCTGGTTCAGAGGAGACAGTTCGTGTACTGGAATAGACCTTATTCGTGGTGTGACAATGTTTTCCCAATTCAGCGTGACGAACCTCCAGGGGATTCATTTTCTTTTGTTTTTACTCTTCGAAAAATTCATGAGTATCCCAAAGGATACGAAAGGAATAACGATGATATCCCAACGAGTTTCAAAACAATAGCTCTTCATTCCCCCAGAGGTTTGTCACGCTGATTTGGGAAAACATTGTTACACCACGAATAAGGTCTATTGAAGTAGGAGGTTCTTCCATTCCTTACCGTGACCATGACGTTATAGTCTCCCCCACAGCCGCTTTCAGTGTCGTCACGCAACGCTGAAAAGCGGCTGTGGGGGAGACTAGTGACGTTAGCGGAACCGGTACACACATTTGTATACTAGTAGCGCGTACGGTCTGTAATCAATGAAGACCTCAGAAGAGATAACTAGCTAAAAACTAGTGTGAGCTGCGTCGCTGTTTCTAATGAAACAGTAATGATAAGGTAAATTATACATCGTGAAAAGATGAAAAAACTTACTGACGTTTCGGACGCTAGTCCTACGTCGGAGTCTTTTACTCTTACACTAGTTTTTAGCTAGTTATCTCTTCTTTTTATCATTAATGAACACCTCAGGTTGTTTGTTGCGCTTTTACGCGGGATAATTAACTCAGCGCGTTCTCACATCATTTTACAATTTTCATAGTCCTAAGCATAAACACTTAAAATGCAGAGAAGCTTGAGCCAAACAGAAGTCAACCCATACCTTTCCAGATGATCTGATGCCGTATAATACACAGGAGAATACAATAACCCAGGCTACAAACAGTGCAAGGGCCAGAGGTGGTCGAATCTCTCCCGGTACTTCAATACCAGATGTAACTTGAAGTATGAAGTTCCTGAATAAACAGCAACGCATGCCGTATTTGAGTTGTAAGCTTATGACACCTGTATCAAGGGTACACCTTCCGAATGAACCTTTCCTAGCTTCCGCTTAATGGGGAGTGTCCGCTCAATAGAGGTTCGTTTTCCGTCATTAAATATGACCAGGAAATCATTTCAAATCCCGAGCTAGCGTTCACTGAAAAATGGGTGCCCCCATAGTTAGGGTTCCAACAGGTATCACAATAATTGCACAAATAACTTTAGTGTCAATCCCACTGTAGGGACGAGTGATACTGGATACGAGAGCGCGCGTTACATCATCAATCAGATATTCAGCCTTGCGCGCGCTTTGGATGAAGTTGTTCAGTGAGAGAAAAC